ACTTTCTGCAAAGAGGGAAATGTTCTATATATGTCCTTGCTATGCCCTTGCTGTCCAAGTTGGTGGCCACTATCACATGTGGCTATTGAATACTTGAGACATGTCTAGTACTATTGGTGATTTTTAAAATTTATTAATTTTAATTAAATAGCAGCATGTGGCTAGAGTCTACCATATTAGACAGTACAGGTCTAGAGCATTGAGAGTTTAATAAAAAATTTATATATGTAAATTTTACATTAATTGTAAAATATTTTAATATTGCAGAAGAATATGGAGTAAAACATTTTGTATAATCTTGTTCCCTCTCCTGAAATTGAGTAGAAGTATTTTAGTTGTTTTCACTCCCATTTTTCCAACAAATGGCTTCACATAAGATACCTTGTAACAAGATAGTAGCCCCTCTCAATAACCTCTTGTATGTATCAGAGGCTTAGCTCAAGTGAGCATTGTGTGAGGGCTTTGAAGCTTGGATAGCACTTCTGTGGCATTAACAGGATTTTCAGGGCAATAGGAGGGAGGCATGCCAAGCTCTTCCCTTCAGTTGCTTGGGCCCAAGCCTGATGGGGGGGGGAGGGGCGGCGTTGTAACTGTGTGGAGTGCTTTCTGTACTCAGAGCCTGAATGATAGATTAGCTGAATTAGGAAAGGTAGGGGGAGGAGAGATGGAGTGGGGATAATACTTCTTGGAGCCCATCCTTTGACAGCATGCTATTCTAGCCACCCCCCTTCCCCAAAGTAGCACGTAGTTAGTATAATGAAATGACACCACATCTGAGACAAGCCTGTCCTGCTGAATGTTCTGTCTACTTGCAAGCTAATAATTTAGCTTGTTAATATTTCCTGAATGCTGGCAGAGGACATGAGACTCATGGGTCAGAGACAGAGAATTTTCTTAGTCGTAGCAGGGCAGGCAGCATGAGCATCCTATTAGCATTTATTCCTTTTGCCCTGAGTCCCATGGAGGAGATGTGGAGGTTCCAGGTGGATACCTGCAGATTCACTGTGTTCCAGGACAGGAACATTGAGCTTGGGGAAACTACTGTTTTTATAGTAAGAGGTAAGCAGGCTTGCTCTTTATCCTCGAGGGATGTATTTCTGCAAAATAACTCTGACAAATGATCTGGCTGAAGAACAGCCAGTAAGACATGTGAGTGCTCATGGAAAAGTGCCTCCCACCACTCAATGCCTGGCTTTGTCCACACACCCCTTTCGGCCCCTCTGAAGTGGGGAGTATGTTGCTGGTATCTGGATCACATTTTGAGAAGCTTCCAATTTAGAGGAACCCTAGAGAATGTTGATTTGTCTTTGAATTGTATGAAGAGTACCAGGGGCAATTTGTGGATCAGATGCAATTCACTTTTAATATTCCAAGTGGCATTGGAAAAATCTCAAGATTGAGAGAAAAGTAGATCACCTAATCACCTACCCAGTATTTGATGCCAGATGATCACCTACCCCTGTTCTGATACCTCCAATTCCAAGGATTTTCCACCTGCTTGATTACTGGGGCTGCCTTTTCCTGAGTAACATCAAGCCTCAGGACGACCCAAGCAGTGGAAGTAGGTGCAGGAGTGTCAGGCCAAAGTGCTGTGTTGTCTGTGGGGAATCATGCTCTATAGCATGTAAACACGGTTATTTCTCCCAGCCTCGTAAGTATCCCCTCTTGACCTTGTATCTCCTTCGAGTAACTGCCACATTTTTCTTCAGACCTCAATAAAATTGTCTATATTCTGTCTCTACTTCCTTTCTTCCCATTCATATACTTTATATTATGAAAAAGTTCCAAATCATATTGAAGTTGTGAGAATAGTGCGTGGTTTAGTAGTGTTAAAGTACATTTACATTGTGCAACCAATCTCCAGAACTTTTTCTCTGGCAAAACTGAAACTCTGTCCCCATTAAATAACACGTCCCCAGTGCTCCCTTCCCCCAACCCCTGGTAACCACCATTCTATTCTCTGTCTCTATGGATTTGACTACTCTAAGTACCTCATACAAGTGGAATCACACAGTATTTGTCTTTTGGTAACTGAGTTAATTTTATTTTGCATTATGTCTTCCACTTTGATCCATGTTGTAGCATGTGTCCAGAATTTCCTTCCTTTTAAGTCTGAATAATTTAGCGGTCATTTTTAAAATCATAAGATGATGAACACAGATAGCTATTCTTTGCATCCAGAGTTGGATAACTCAGCAGGCTCGGTAAGTTCTCACTGGCCCCACCATTAGTTCTGCCCTTGTGGAGCATCATCAAATATATCTGTTAGCCTATGGGTCCCCTAAGGGGAAACTGGTATACCCTTTTGAATGGGTGAGCTTGGAATGTAACGAAACAGCACTGGAGTTTGGAATTGGAGACAAGTTTAAGTGGATTTTGTTGCCTATTAGCTCTATGAACTACCTTCCTGGATGTCACCTTCTTTGGAGAAATCCCTTGATTTCTCTCACCTCTAGCTGAACACTCATGTAGCAGGCAAGCACCTTTGGGGAAAGAATTCTAAATCGTGCTTCAAGGTAACCACCTACATTCCACCAAATGTGATAATCATTTCCTCTTTGCCCTTCCACTCAACCAAATTTAAGAGCTTACTAAGTATTATTGCTTTACATTTGTGTGGCAGGAGTTGGTTTTCAAAACATTTTCACATACATTCATTTTTTAATCACAGATTTGTTGACATTCATCTAGCACACAATTCACCCTTTTAGTATATTCACAGGGTTGTACAACTGTTACTATAGTCAGTTTTAGAGTATTCTTGTCGTCCCAAAAGAAACCCTGCCTCCATCAGCTGTCACTCCTGTTCCTTCCTCTCCAGCCCTGGGCAACCACAGATCCACTTTCTGTCTCTATAGATTTGCCAATTCCTAGAAGTGGAATCATGCAATATGTAGACCTTACTGACTGACTGCTTTTGCTGAGAATTTTTTTAAGGTTCCATGTAGCACATATCAGTACTTTATTCCTTTTTGTGGCTGAATAACTTTTTATGGGTATACCACATTTTATTTACCTATTCATTAGCTATTGGACTTTTGGGTCATTTCCATTTAGCTGTTATGAATAAGGCTCATATAAACATATATGTACAAATTGGTGTTTTTTGGGACATATGTTTCATTTCTATTGGGTACATACCTAGGTGTGGAATTGCTGTTATAAACATTCATTTTTTTTTAAAATAGGCTTTATTTTTTTAGATTTACAGAAAAATTGTGAGGATAGTACAGAAAGTTCCCATATACTCCCTCACCCAGTTTTCCCTATTATTAATATCTTGTATTAGTGTGGTACATTTATTATAATTAATGAGCTAATATTGATATATTATTATTTAATAATCCATACTTTATTCAGATTTCCTTAGTTTTTACCTAATGTTCAGGATCCCATCCAGGATACCAAATTACATTTACTTGTCATTTCTCTTTTGGCTCCTCTCAACTGTGAGTTTCTTAGATATTCTTTGTTTTTAGTCACCTTGACAGTGAAGAGGAGTGGTGGTCAGATAGTTTGGAGACTGTTCTGTGTTGGAATTTGTGTGATGTTTTTCTCATCATTAGATGGATGATGGGTATTTGGGAGGAAGACTACAGAGAGAAAGTGCCCTTCTCATCATGTTGTATCCAGGGTGCATCCTATAACATTATTTATCACTGTTGATGTTGACCTTGATCACTTGTCTGAGGTAATGTTTGCCAGTTTTCTCCACTGTAAAGTCACTCTAAATTTTCCCTTTTCATTACTTGTACTCTTTGGAAGGAAGTCATTCTGTACAGCCCATGCTTCAGTAATGGGGAATTGGTTACAACTCTCTGAGGGCAGAGTGTCTACATAAATTACTGTGCAATTCTTATGCAAGGGAGATTTGGCTTCTCCCCCATTTATTTATTCAAACATTTATTGATATCAATGTGGACTCATGGATACTTAGTTTATACTTTGGGTTATAATCCAGTGTTACTTTCCTTTTTTGCTCAACTTATTCCAGCTTTGTCCCCTAGAGCTTTCAGTTGGCTCCTGCGTTCCTTTGACATGTTTTGTCAAGATAGGCTTTTACAATTTTTTTTTAAATTTTAATTTTTTATTAGTACTGTTTACGTTCTGGCACTCCCAATTACTCTGGGCTCATGTTGTGTATTTCCTGGCTCAGTCCTAGAATCAGCCATTTCTCCAAGGAGCCTTGGTTCCCTTTATTGGAGAATGATACTAGAAACCAAGATTTGGGCTCTAGACGTGCTCCTTAACATTCATTTTGAACCTTTTGAACAACTCTTTGTGAGTTCTTCATGTCTTTTTTATCTTTTCCTTTTCTGGTAACATACTGAAACAGTGTGGGCAGAGGTACCAGTAGTTAGGATCTGAGGGTCAGGCTGTTTGGGTTCATCTCATAGCTGTAGCATGTACAGCCTGCATAGTCTTAACCCCTCTATGCCTCAGTTTTCCCATATATAAAATGGGAAATAATAATAGCACCTACCTTGTGGGGTTGTTGTAAAGATTAACAGAGGAAAGCCACGTACGATGTTAAATCTTGCCTGGCACCCAAGATCTGCTCAAAAGCTGCTGGTGGTAGCAGCAATTATTTATTTGAGGAGGTTGGGGAAAATACTCTCTCTTTTCTTCACATTAAGTAACTTGCCTGAAACAGTGGTCAAATGGGGGTTCACAGAGGGGCCTTTTGCCTCCACCACACCCTACCACACCTCTCTACTGTAAGTTTTTGCTTCAGTGTGTGAACTAATGTTAACCACCTGACATCCAGCAGTGTACCGGGCAGAAGGTTACAGCTGACCCTGGAGCTGAGGATTCAGGGGCTCCTATATGGAAAGAGATAACATTTTAAATAAATACAGCTAGACAAATGTATAATTTTAAGATATTAAGTATTTCAAAATAGGATCTTGTATAATTTTAAAAATTTCATTCTGGGTTAGGAATGAAAAACTGTTCCATGAAGTTAACTGGAAGCCTTTCTTAATTTTCTTTCCCTTTAGCGGACTCATTGGGCAAAGCTGGGCTATGTTGTTTGCCAGTGGAGGCTTCAAGGTGAAACTCTATGATATTGAGCCACAGCAGGTAACAAATGCCTTGGAAAAGATCAGGTAAGTTAGCTGGCACTCTTGCTGCTCTCAGTGGGTCTTGTTTATTGTATTCTCAAGGCTGTAAATATCTGTGATTTTACTCTAACATTTGATGGCTGTTACAGTGCCTTTGAGCTGGAAAGGCCAAGCCCACGGTGGGTGAGCCATAACAAATTCAGACTGAAGAAGGGGCTCAGATTATGAGGAGAGTGCCGTTAGGATTGTAAAGATGTGTGATGAGAGTGGAGGAGCTGAACATCCCTCTTAGGCTTCCAGCCTGAGTGAGTCAGCTTCTCTCCCGTGTCACACAGGCCCGGTGCTCTGGGTTTCCCTGTGTTCCCTCTGGGCAGACGAGTCGGTGCTCAGCATGTCGTAGCCAGAGCTGCATGGGCATTATGTTTTAGGAACAGGGGGTTCTGAGGTTTGTTTTGACCTATTGATCTAATGTTGTCAGGACTCAAATGAATTGTGATAACTGTAATAGTTAAAGGTGTCCGAGTCGATGAACTTACATACGCTGAGTGCTAAGCATGAGGAGGGCTAAGTTTTGGGAATAATCACAGAAGAAAAATAGGAACCATAGGAAAGAGGCCAAGAATGAGGGAGGTCAAAGATAGGAGCACCAAACTAATGTAATGTGCTGGAAGGTAAAAGGGCCCTAATTCATGACACATTCACCTAAGAGGACTATCGCTGAACACAGTTTGGATCATCTCACACATGGTATTGTTTAGGTAGTTATTCTTCTTGGGGGATATCCATGAACGTGTAACTTGAATTTGCATTTTGTGTAACAAAAATATGCTGACTTTATTGTTTACTTTTTGAAAAGACTAATATATATATTGTGTGACATCAGGCTGTAGACACTGAGAAATTATATATCTTAGTTCAGTTTTGTTGTGCAACAGATTAAGAACCCAAAACCTGGAGAAGTCAAGTTACTTCTTACGTAGAGTAACATATAGTCAGTGCCAAGATGAAACGTCAGTCTGAAAAGCAAACAAACAGGAGTGCCTGCCTGGCTCAGTTGGTGGAGCATGTGACTCTTGATCTCTGGGTTGTAAATTCAGGTCCCACGTTGGTGTAGGGATTACTTAAAAATAAAATCTTTAAAAATGAAAAAAACCTCAAAACCAAAAACAATGAAAGAACCACTCTAAAGCTAAACACATATACTCCTAACACTTTGTTCTGTACTCTTTTAGAAGGAAGAGGAATTAGCATAAATACCTGCTATGTTCCAGGCATGTGCTATCCACTAGGGATACATAGATGAGTAAGAGAGACAAAGTCCTACCCACCGTGGAACTTATAGTATAGTAATCTTACCATATAAATTCTCATAGTAAGCCCCATGAGGCAGATATTATTGCCATTATTTTATGAGAAAGCTTAGTTCTATGAATGGTCAGTAACCTGCTCAAAGCCACAGTAAGATACAAGATTCAAGCTGTGGTTCATCTGACATGGTAAGGGTGGGTCTGAGTTCCTTTAGCACCTATCTATACTATTTGTTTTATAGAGAGTCTACAAACATTACTTTTAATGTAATATTTAATATATACAAAATAGGTCATTTATGCTAGTTTATGAAGAATATAATAAAATGAACATTCATGAAACTACTATCCATCTTGAGATCTAGAATATTGTCAATACCCTGTGTACACCTTTTGAGACTAATCCTCTATCTTCTCACCAGAAGTAACTATACTGTTAACCTTGCCTTAAAAAAGTTTTATCATTGCTATGTATCTCTAAATAATATATGGTTTAGTTTTGCTTATTTTTGTGCTTTATAAAAGAATTTTTTGAGATTCATCCATGTTATTGTTTATATAGCTGTAGTACATCTACGTTTATTGCTTATTGCTATATGATTTTCTAGTGTGTGACTTTGCTATTATTTACTTATGTTTTATCCTTCTGATGAACATTAAGCTATTTCCAGTTGGGGGCTATTGTAAACAATGTTGCCATTTGTGTCCTTCCATATGTCTCCTGGTGCAGAAGTGCAAGAATATCTACAGGGTACATACCTAAGAATGAGATTGCTGGGTCTAGTTTTCCGTCCGGGATTCTGATTAAATGTCTGTTGAACCAACACATTCTAGCCTTCACATCTTTTAAACTCTCTTATATTTTCCGTCTCCCTGTCTTGTTGGAATATATTTTGGATACATTCTTTAGATTTTTCTTCCAGTTCACTAATTCTAGTTTTAGCTATGTCTAATCTGTTATTTAAGCCATCCATTGAATTTATTTCAGTAATTAAATTTTTACTTTAATAGTTCTGTCTGCTTCTTTACCAAATATACTTGTTCATTTTTAATAGTTTCTCACTGTTTGCTCATTCTTTGTGGTTACATTTTTTAAATCTTTGAGCACTTAATACATAATTGTTTTGTATCATATATCTAGTAATTCCAGTACTTGAGGTTGTCTTAGCTCCGGTTCCTCAGAATCAGATCCTGAGATAAGGATTCCCAGGCCAGCGATTTATTAAAGAAGTGCTCCCAGGAGAAACCAGTGAGGGATTGGTGGGGATAGGAAAAGGAAGACAAAGAGGCCAACTAATAAGGATATGATTTCAGGAGAAGTCCCAGGATCAACAAGATTCCATGGAGTCCCAGAGCATAAAATGCTGTGTGAAGTTTGTCATCCCTTAAGGCAAGAGAGCTGAGCTTCCATATTTCTGCATCAGTCACTGACTTGGGGCATTCCTAGGGGCTTGGGTGGATATGAACTCCCAGGGGCTTCTGTGTCTCTGCTCTGGGTTCTGGGGTATACTCTGAGGGTGGGGGCAGGTGTAAGCCATTAGCAGCAACAGAGTTTCAAAAGTTGCGGGTGGGCACCCAGTGCTGGTAAAAGGGATTCAAAGAGATCTGGGTGGAGCACTGAAGGACTGCCAAACTGTCTTCCAAAGTGGCTGGACCACTTGGCACTCCCACCGACAGTGAGTCAGAGTTCTCGCAGCGTTTGGTGTTGTCAGTGTTCTGGATTTGGGCCCTTCTAACAGGTATGTGGTGGTAGCTCGTTGTTTTAATTTGCATGTCCCTGATGTGTGTAGCATATTTTCATATGCTTATTTGCTATTTGTAGATCTTTGAGTTCTTTTTTTGTTTTTTCTTCTTTTGGTTAAAGGGAGAACCTTGAAATTTCTCCTTACTTGCTCTACTTGCTGTGACTCTCTCATACATAAAAATTATTCTTATGTGGGATCCTGTGGTTTATAAACAGGCCCTTCAGACATTTTTGCCCACCATAGTATTAGAAATGGAAGTCTTCAAAAGTCTTTAAAAATAAATTTTAAGCCTTAGTAAAAATAGCTCAAAAGCCTTATGTTCTACTGTTGTAATGCAGAAGAAAATACGCCTCAAGAGAATGATCCTAAAAAAAGGAACCAACTGAGATTTCTTCAAATTGAGTTAGAGTGTTTTAAAAGGGCATCAAGATAAGGAACACAGTAGCACAAAGAACTTAATATTTGGTTTAATGGAGGTGATGTAGGGAGCAATGGAAGTGATCTACTGATAATGAAAAATTCATAAAGGGGGATACTGTTGTAAAGAAATTTACAGAATTTGGGGTGCCTGGGTGGCTCAGTCGTTAAGTGTCTGCCTTCGGCTCAGGTCATAGTCCCGGGGTCCTGGGATCGAGCCCCGCATCGGGCTCCCTGCTCCGCGGGAAGCCTGCTTCTCCCTCTCCCACTCCCCCTGCTTGTGTTCCCTCTCTTGCTGTGTCTCTCTCTGTCAAACAAATAAAATCTTAAAAAAAAAAAAAAAGATTTACAGAATTTATGGTTTTCCTAAGTAAGTAAAATTAGATCTACTTCATTAAATTTCTCTTTTATTCCCATAGTAAGTGGTTTTTCTACATAAGAACATAGCAAGCTGCAGTGTGGAAATGGTAGTTGGTGATAGTGCTAGGCCTCATGTACTTGTGTGGCTACGCTGACCTTTCAGCAGGCTCGGGCTTTTATGTGGTTTCCTGTTAATGATGTAGGAAAGAACATTTGGGTTCGAAGCCGACAGCCCAGAAAGAATTCTTGAGACATCTTTGGTGCAAAAAGTTGATTTTATTAAAGCACAAGGGCAGGACCCATAGGCAGGAAGAGCTGCACTGGGGTCATGAGGAGGGGCCCATTACATACTTTAAAGTTGGGAGGGGGTTAGGGATAGGGTAAGTCTCTAAGGAATTTTGGAAGCAAGATTTCCAGGACCTTGAGGGGGCTAGCTTTTGTTGGGAAAAGGTCATTTATTACCGTCTAATAAAACCTGAGTCATGAGACCCTTCAGATGTTTATTGGTGGATCATATGCTTGGGTGATGATTGCCAACATGTATCTTAGGGGGTTTAGAGATAAAGGAAGTTTCCAAAGGAATTTTTATATGTTAAAATAGACTCACAGGGTCCTGGGGTTGGGCTAAGATTGCCTTTTGCCCTTAGCAAAGTATCAACATTGAAGCAGTTGAGTCGCTAGAGGAATGTCACTCTGCCTGTTGCAAGGACTTGTCAATGGGCTGTAGATAGTAAGGAAATTTAATCATTTTTCTTCTGCCTTTGTTTCCCACATCATTGACAGTATTTGTGGTTGGTGGGTTTGGAGCCTAGAGATGTCAGTCAGCTCAGTAACTGATCCGGTGTCGGAGGAGAGCACAGCCTCTGATCAAGTCAGGTGTGGAGCCAGCTGCACCCACACTCCAGGCACTGGCCTAGTCTCTCTAATGGCCAAACAGGAAATATTTTAGGCTTTTCAGGTCATAAGGCCTCTGTAGCAGCCACTCCTCGTAGAGTGAAGCAGCCACAGACAATATGTGAACAAACGGGCCCAGCTGTGTTCCAATGAAACCTCATGAATTCACACCGAACTTTGGAGTTTGTATAATTTTCGCATGTCACAAAGTATTATTATTCTTTGGGTTTTTTTCCAACCACTTAAAAATGTAAAAGCCATTTCATCTCACAGGCCATATGAAAACAAGTGGTGGAGCAACTTTGACCCTTGGGTACAGTTT